GATTCCTTGAGGATAAAATGATGCGGGATGTAACAGGCTGAAGTTGAATCCTCTGGTGTAACACGTTCCATGTGGCCTAAATCTTCATATTCTTTCATGAATAGTGCATATTGTTTCTTGTGGTCTGGATTCTTGGCAAGACGTCGTTCCAAATAGAGGAGACGCTTCATGGCAATATCCATGGATTTACCAATTGCTGGTACTCTGATTGCAGGATTTGACAGACCTGCTGACGGTGGAGGAGGGTGGCATACCTGAGATTTGAATGGAATCTGCACGGTGAATTGACCATTCTCTTCTCGGCGATAGGTGGAGGCGAAGTGAGATTCGACCTTTGATTCGTCTGAGGTTTGGAGCCGCTGCAAGGGCGCACTCTCAATTTCCCAGAATCTCCGTAGCGTAGCGTCGAGGTGCTCATCCTGATCACTGGCAGAGGAGATTGAATTGGTACTGCGACCATGTTGCGAGGCGAGGGTGGCATGGACCTGAGGATTGATTAAAGGGGCGTTTGGGGCACCACCACCAATCAGCCATCCGAAACTAGTTGAGATAGCGAATGGACTGTTGGGTGGGCCTTTCAACTTGGTACCCTTGAGAATGTCGAAAAAGAACTCAGCACCCAGGAGCATGTCAATGTCTTGAGGCTTGTAGTAGTTGGGATCGGCTAATTGGAGGTTTTGGAGATGTGACCATCTGCTGTGGTCGAAGGTTGAAGATGGGAGTCTGCCAGTGATCTTCGAAGTGATGAGACACCTGGAGACAAAGAATGAAATGGTTGAATCAAAATGTGGGCTGACTGAGAATTCAGTAATTCCAGTAGCATTGACAAGGGATACTCCACCTAGACCTGTTGCCGTTGCGAAGTACCGTCTGCGAGGAACTCCAATCCTTTTGATGCAAGAGTCCGTCACATAGTTTGCATTGCTGCCATTGTCGGCCAGCACTCGGAGGGTGTGGTAGTTACCGCTGGGGTCTGCTACCTGGACGAGGCATGTTGCCAGTAGGGTGTCGTATTCCTTGGGAGTGGAATGAGACTTGTCACGTGGGGGATGAGGGGCGCTGTTTTCTGCATGTAGCACCACTGGAGGAATGGCTGCGGCATCGGCTTGCCTGGGTTTGTGTAGAAGGGTGTGGTGCTTACCATTGCACGTCCTACACGTTCTGTTGCTGGGACAGTCTTGGATTCTGTGGGGCCCAAAGCAGTTGAAACACAAATTCAACTTCTTGACGCCATCAACTCGTTGCTGAATTGGGAGTCCCAGAAACTTCTCACACTTGAATAGAGGATGAGGACTTGCTTCACATAAATGACAATTTCTGCTGGCATTTGTGGTGTGGACCATATTACGTGTCTGAACTCTGTTGCCATGCGGGTTGTTGGGGTGCACGGGCTTCGATGATGATGATAATGATCCACTTGCTGCTAGTGCTCGAGCTCTCTGCTCGAGAAATTCGAATAGGGATTTTAGTGAGGGAATGGAGCTGTCCTTGAGCGACTGCTCCCACAATTCTTTGGATGTTGAATCCATCTTCGTAACTAGGATGAAAAGGAGATGCGCGTCCCACTGATCTGTAGGAAGCTTGAGGACATCCAGTGATCGGATGCACTCACGAGAGACATCAACTAGGCTACGGATTGATGTTGATGACTGCGGCTTCACAAGAGCTTGGTTGTGGAATCTACGGAGAATGGCGAAAAGTAGTTCGCGATCGTTCTGATACCTATCAGACAACTGGGACCACGCAATATCATAGTTAGTGTCCGATATTATCATACTAGAGATTTGCCTGGATGCTTCATTCTTGAGTAGAGATTTTAGATAGGTAAGCTTCTGTGACTTACTAAGAGACAAGTTGTCATGCACGGCAGTGACAAACATGTCCCGAAAAGTGACCCAATCTTGCAGATTGCCGTCGAAAGAGGGAAGTTCGAGACGAGGGAGTCTGATATCCGTCGTGGTTGGAGTGGTTGAACTGGTTGCAGCACTTGAACTGGAGGCGGAAGATGAGACTGGGAACTTCATCTTGATTCCAGTAAATGCTGATAATAACTTGGTGGACTTGGTCATTAGTCGCTGAAATTCTTGTTGGTGTGGTGTCATGTCTGGAGGTGATGCAAGCTGTATCTTACGGTGAATCTCCATTACGTCGGTCTGGCAGGCTTTCACCATCGACAGAAGATGACTGGTGTGTGCTTCATCTAATGGGGTTGTCGCGTGAGAGGTCAATTCTGTTTCCAGATAATCAATGAGGTCGCTAGTGGTGGAGCGTTCACTGGTTGCTTTATCCAGCACTGTGGGTGCCATGATTGTTGTTGCTACTGGGGTTCAACCCGACGCCCGATGGCCGATTCTGAACCTCCTATCCAGTAACCCACAACAATGGACTTAACGAAAGACAGCGCTTACCAAATTTACACACTTGCGAATGGACGGTTTATATCCGGTTGAAGCGAGACCAAAATGTTGAGAATGCAAAGTTCCCTGATTGTGTGATTGGTAATGATGCTGTGTGATGTAAATCTCTCGTTCTTGAAATGAGGCACGTTGAGACAAAGCAGTTATATGTCACTTAAATTATTTATTTGGGGCAGTTTGCGACTTAAGAGCTTGAGTGACAAAGTAACTGGTAGACCATGGACAACAGAGTGACATCGAGATAAGAATTGTAACCAATATTTATAAGCTTCGTGTGAATGGCCGGACAAGGTTATGATTAACATGGAGACTTGTAAGTAAATTACATTTATGCTGGAAGAGCAGAACAAAATGATAAGCCGCAAACTCTTAACTAGTCATTTACCTTTAATATTAATTAGTCAAATTAATAAATAATGCATGTGCGTCAGAGGGTAGGATAGGGAAATTGAATTATACAACCTTTTCATACATAATCTTAAAAATACAAATGCAGGAGTCAAATACTTAAAACTTCCTCAACAATATTTGTATTTCTCGGTCCTTGTGGTGCCCAAAGAACTCGAATGGTTATTACTTTGTTACTGACGCTGTGGCCGGTTCATGTGCAGATTGAACGAGTAAATACAAGAGAAGCAGTACATAATAGGTTAATATACGAACCCAGGTATGTAATCACAACGAAAGACTGAGGATCCGCCCAAAATAGACCCCATTTCGGGTTATAAATTCAGGAGAAATAGCCGAATGTCATTCATCTACATACATTTATTATTATTTTCATGCGAACGAACGCACGATCCTTGATAGTTTTCCATTTGGTAGAAATGGAAGAAAATCAGTAGTCAGTCCAGCAGTCTGGGCTGAACGATGATGTCTTCAATCACCACCAATTTCCTTCCGGCCATCATTTCATATGTACAAGCGTATTTCAGGTCCTTATCGTTATTGGGAAACACATTTGTAATAATTTGTGTATGTGCATGAGTGGTAGTGGTAGTGCTGCAATGGATTGAACTTTTTGCTGGCCATCACTTACATAATTTATGCACTACAGTAGTAAGAAAAATATTGGCTTGAGTTAAACTGGTGACATAAATTGAGTGACTGACAAACAAGATTATACATATTTTATATTTGTCTAGCTCCCCGACTTCGCTACCAGTTTGTGCACACCATTTTATATCCGGTAATCCAATGTCACGTATTGTTAAATTCTGACCGTATTTTCCCAATACGACAAGGGCAACAACATAATCAGGAATAAATTGCATCTTTACAATAGTTATCAAAAAAGTTTGTGCTCATCGAAATTTTTTGAGTTATGCCGGTTTTAGTCTCCCCAGTTTCAACCAATTTTCAACTAAATCCCAATTTCGCTTTCTTTAATAAATTCAGATACGCCACCAAAATGTCGCACACGGTAACAGTGACCAGAACGACTACGACCACGACTACCTCTGCCATCCTTCTCAACATTGGCTATTTCAAAACGATACCTGGAATCTTGAAGCTCCTTCATATTGTAAGTTACAATTAATTATTCATTTTACTGGCATTATCCAATTTGACCGTATTTCTACGGTTGACGTCCATTGCGAATTTTCTATTGATGATGAAACATACATATAAATAAGACGGTAGGGAATGACATCACTAATCGTAAGATGAACAAATAGACATTGAACGTGCAAAGTACGGATGATTTGTTAGGCAGTGGCTGACATGCATTTATTTTGAGCACTTCTAACACATCCACCAAGACCCAGATACGTCTTGTTAGCAAAACTGTGCAATTTTTCTCACGTCAGAGTTTCGTAGATATCATGCGTATGTATGTATGTATGTATGTTTTTAATACTTAATTATCCATGAGCACTTTTGAGATTAGGAATTATTATTGGGGGTCATAAATATATTTATTTTATTCTTTTTTCAACATCAACAAGCTAGATATTCTAACCACTACATTGACCCACAAGATCGACTTGTAATTACCCATCGTGAAATCATGGTGTCGTTTCAGGTTTTGGGCATTGTGTGCGTATCCCTTGTTGGACACTACATCGCTTATCACAAAATTCACCAAGCCACGCGGGGTCCAAGCTTCTCTCACATCCCAGATCACGGGTTATTTATCCCAGAACTCTTTTTCCTCCTGATTGCGACCACATGTCTCATTGCGTCCACTCTGCTGCTGATTTCTTGTCTTATTTCCATCGCCACTGCTACCATTCTCCCGAAAACCGTTTTCGTAAGTTCAACAATTTGGTGTATCATGTATGCAAAATCCTTCCTATGGAGCAGCAAATATGTGCCTCTCCTTGGTCAAATATATTACTCATTGGTGCAAATTGTACACATTTGTAACTGGGCGATGACGATCTTGAAGAAGATGGGTTGTTTATTTAGGAAATTGTTTACCATGTTGCTGCCATGATTCTCCTCTTGCTTTCGGCTATAATTTACATCGTCAAAATTGAGGGAGAGTACACCTACAAATCAGATGCCTACAAATACAAGTCCGATGCGTTCAAGTATACGCCAGAAGCGTACAAAGCGCGATTGTCAGCAGGCGTAAGAAAGTCAACTTTCACTGATTTCACTAACCCGTGCTTTTTTTATTTTGTTGCATGTTGGGTGTGGACTTTTTTTGGTTTGGACATTTGATTACTTCTCGAGCAGGAGACGACGTTTTTCGCACCTTTGACATTTCTATACTTTGTTGCGAGTATGAACTATTTATGTAGCGTGGCAATTAGAAAGGGAACTTTTCAGAGTGGGCAACATTCGTACGGGATACTAATTTTTGCTTCGGTGAGAGTTCTTTTCACGGCTGCTTGTTTATTATTAAAATTGGTTATTTTAATATTGCTTGTTATCGCATTCTTATTATTAGTTTATTGTAAGCACTGTCAAATACTAATACGAATAGTTTTAGAATAATCGAATCGAAGGGTTAACAAATAAAGTGTCCAGGAAAGTAAATTAACTAATGACGTGCAATTTTTCAGATAATCGGAATCATCAACTCCATTCTTTACGGAGTTGCAGTATTTTTCGCGTACCGGAATTTCAAGTCAGGCTGAACCTCGAGCTGCATCAATCAACTTTCTCACGGACTAATTAATACTCTAAAACTTGTATCTTATTTTGTGCATAAACGATTGATGATGAGATCCACGTAGCGTTAAGACATTGTCATAATATTTGTTGCTTTACTACCCGTAGGAAACAAATGAGTAAGGAAATAGTTGCTGTGAGCTGTGAAAGCATGTCGAATAAGAATTCCACTGCGTGTGGTGCTACAAACCCTGCAAAAATGTTTCCCATTATTTTAAACAAATGCGATAAATAGCTAATAAAGCCAGCTACAAAAGTAATCTGCTATTTTTTGCCAACGCTTGATCCCAATGGGGCGTTGTGAAGAGATTTGTTTAAGAAAGTGGAATCGGAGGAGATGGGACGCATCTTTCTTTTCAAGTGGAATGTGTCAACCTAGTTTTACAAATGAGAATCTGGAACAGCAACCACGAGAGAAACACGCCGGAAAAGAAAGGACGCCTTGATATCTCACTCGTTCGACGCGTATAGCTTTACGACGACATATGAATCTGTGTCTTCTAATACTTGTCACATTGTCAGCCAAGAGTATTGTGCTTGAACCAATAATGCTTTATATTTACATGTACATACATACGCGATAAATATTTATGCATATGAATTAAATGTGTTATAATTCTACACTTATTTCGGGATTTGATCTTATTTTTTGTCCATTTTTCCATGTTCAAATTCACAACGCACTAAAAGAAGAAGTTTGTAATGGAAATTTTGTCATGTTTTGAAGTTGGCTGAGTGAATTGAGAACAAAACACATGTGCAGTTTGTACATAAACCAAAACTTTCGTCTTTTTCTTAACTGTCAAATGGGCAACTTTAAACTACAGCAACGCATCAGTTTCTAATTTTAGATCTTATTCTCAGTCCGTGTGGGTCGTGTTTATGAGACTTGGTTTTCAGAGATCGTTTCCAGAAGGCACGTTGCACAGACGAACACTTAATGGGAATTGCATAGCATGGCACACCGAGTATGAAAAATAGTTAAATCGAAGATGGGACAAAACATGCGTTTTCAAGCATCTCTTTTCTGGCTTCTTAATTGTAATCCTGCTTGTTGCTAGCTTGGGATTGTGAGTCATTCTGGTTTTGTGAACCCAATCCTATGTCAACACGTGAATAGAAACACACAACTTTCTGACAGAGTAATAAGTCAAGAAATTTCATAGTTTGTCCAGTAATTGGATTTTATAGTGCTTACAAATTAATCTATTACTCACCCAAGTCACAAGTAAGCCCTTCCGTGGTAAGAAAAATGTCGGAAATGCGTGGTGGGCATTTTTTTCTCTCAGTTCACTGATTTTCACATTCTCATTATTGAGAAGACACGTTGTGTGCATGAAATATTGCGATTACAATAAAATGGCGAGGATTGGAGTTGCACCAACAGCAGTACCGGTGAGACCCTTGCCGACAATCGTGCGAAATGGTAGAGGAGGATCATGTTCTTGTCCTTCCAACATAATTTCGTCCCCGCGAGCCATTCGCTATAATCACAGGTCCGTCGGAGCCAGCTCAAAGAAATTATGTCAATGCTGCATTTGCGGCTGCGTCCATGTTGACTTTATGAAAAGGATGCCTGGAATTCTGAAGCTCATTGAAGCGGTATGAAACCAACAAGTAGCAAATACATAAGCCTTCTTTAAAGTAAAATGTGGTAAATTATAATTCGTTGTCACATTATTTTATAGGTTTTTGGAATAATTTGCCAATACCTCCTCCTCGAATTTGGATCGAGCCATTCTTCTGATTTGGGCTCGTGTTACACGGAATTTCTTATTGGGGTGTCGTATTGCTTGATCACGACCGTGTTGCTCATGACGTGCTACTTGTTTTCCAAAAGCACATATCACTTGCTCAGATCTTCAATTTTTGTAAGCAAATTCTGTTTTATTTAGGGGGGGGGCAGGATAACGACGAAAGTTTGCGTCTCTGACTTTCTTGAAATTTTATTAGGAAACGGCATTTAATCTTCTTGCCTGTTGCTTGTACTTATCATCCTCTACTTATCTGGCGTACATTGTGAATACGAGGTTGTTTTTGAAGTATCTGATCGTACCATTTTATCAAGTCTTCCCAGCTCTGTCTGCTGCATATGTAAGTATTTTGTATTGGTGTGCATAGTTAACGAGGAATACTTTATGATGAATACAAATGCAAATTTACAGGTGCTTGGATTTGTTACTGGTGTGGTCCATGGAATTGATGGATATTTTGCATACAGATATCTTCAAATTGGACAGTGAATTTCATAAAATACAACAACCAGACATTTATTGGCAAAAATTATCAGTCAAAAAGTACAAATCAAAATATAAAAGGAAGTCCAGTGTGACGGAATGAAATTGTGGACAATGTTGTATACGTTAAATTAAAATAAATGAATCCAAAGACCTCAACTCTTAAATTAAATATTTTGTAAAAATTGTGATTTTTTGTGTTTCAAATAAAATTTCAAATAAAATGTAAAAAAAACGATTTAAGAAGACTTAAAAGTGTATCTATCCATTACAATTGCAAGCAGTGCCATTCGCACGTACATTCCAGCCTCGGCCTGTCGAAAGTACGCTGCTCTAGGATCTGAATCGAGAGGAAAAAGAGCTTACAGCCAATTTTTAATTGAATAAATCAGCATAATTATTCTTACCTGAATCGAATTCAGAGCTTATTTCATCCACCCGTGGAAGTGGATGCATAACAATCATTCGCTTTTTGGCTGAGGTCATGATTTGTGGCGTAATCACAAATTGACCATTCGCCTAAGAAAAAGATCATTTAACGAATAATTCACTAATAAGAAGTGTGTATAATCATGCGTAGAAAATTTGCTAGAAAATTTACTCTGTCATATTCTTCCGGTGTTGAAAACCTTTCCTTTTGAATTCGTGTGACATAGAGGACATCAGTGTCTCTAAGGGCATCTTCTAAGGGTACGTATTCCTATTGTGCATAACCAAACAATTAAGATGTGCCCAAATGTGAGCAAAAATAAACATACTTATCCTTACCTGAGAAATTCCTTTGGATTTTACAAAATCGTAAACACTATGTGGCATTTCCAATCCAGGTGGACACACGTATCGCAAATTAACCTTGTAGAGGGTGAGGAGCCTTGCGAGGGAATGTACTGTCCGTCCGTGCTTGAGATCCTAAGATGCATAAAATTCACATGATATTATATAATTTGTACTGCATAATAATAAGATGTAAATAATTGTAATACGTATTGTTACTTACTCCAACCATTGTAATAATAAGGCCATTGACTGTTCCGATCTCTTCTCGTATGGTGAAAACGTCCAACAAGGCCTGGGTTGGATGCTCCTGTGAACAATGTTTTTTTTACCGATTAGCCAAGCACTCCATTTGTATAAGTAAAATACTAACAACATAAATTTGTATAATTATCTTACCCCAGTACCGTCGCCAGCATTGATGACAGGTTTTTGAGACTTTGACGCAGCACGCTAATTGCAGGGAATTATTACGAATATTAGAACCTTGCCAAATAAATGATAATTTTTTATGACTCTCTTACAGAAACGGCTCCTGGTTCTGGATGTCGCAGGACAACAACATCGCTGTATCCGCTCATTACTCTGATAGTGTCTGAATTAATTTAGTAAATGTAATTTAATAAACAAATTAAAACTGTCGTATGCACATGGATAAGCACAAACCTTCCAGCGTCTCCCCCTTCTTGACTGACGAACTTGACTCGTCCACGTTTATCACTGTTCCTCCAAGTCGTTGAAATGCTGCAGAAAAGCTGCAACTAGTTCTGGTACTTACTTCGTAGAAAATCGACGCCATAACTTTGCCCTGGATTATTTTTATATGAGTATTAAATTTTAGGGTGTCTTATTCTTAATTTAATCTACCCAACAAATATGCATGAAGGAAAAACTTACTTTTAAAATGTTATCGATTGCTCTGTCTTTGTGAACGGAATTTCGGAAAAATTGAGCCAAATTGAAAAGGGCGTGAAGTTCATTTTTGTTGAACATTCCAGCATTCAAAACGTGTCGTCCGACCAACTTTTTCAGCACTTCGGTCGTTGACTGCGTGACGGCAGGAGAAGTGAAGGGCAAGGACACCAAGGTGGACGCATGGGTCGTAAGAACTTGCTTCTCTTGATTGTGAATTGGTTGGATTGCTGGATGACTTGGAGAACCCAGCGGACCTACAAAAGTATTCTCGAAGCTGCCACATGGCACGTGATGGGGGACTGGCGATGCAGATCTCCTGGACAAAACTTCCGACAAGTAAGTTCTTGAGCTCGGTCTTCCTAAGCCAGTTGGACTCATCAGCAAATCAGGTGGATATTCTGAGTTGTAGAAAACATGTTCTTAATTGAGTAAATTTTTAACTTCCACTGCTTATATGCCAACTACAAACATATTGCATAATACTTACCATAAGTGTTAAGCCCATCTTCAATACTTCCACACGAAACGGAGAGCTCCTTTGCAAATGATTTTACTGGAGTCGTTCTTCCATCCACAGAAGGAAATGCAAAGATGTCTTTGGTGCCATTAGCCTACATGGTTTTATGTAATGTTTCAAATTTTAACGCTAAATCATTGACTATAAAAAACTTCCCAGATAAAGCAAAGGGAAAATAACGCATGTGACCATTACCAGTGGAACTTTGGAGTCCTTGAGGTCGATGCCGAAGCCAGGAGGAACCAGAACTTGACCATCAACATAAGCCACTTCCCCTCGGAGTACAACTCTTGAAATGGCTCCTTTGACTTTTCTCCCATTAAATGGACTCCATTTGCATTTTGTTTGCATCTTCTTTTCGTCAATGACCCACTCTTTCTCCATGTCAATCTGCGTTTGAGAAGTACCGATATTTACAACTTGCTCATGTTTTGTGAAAGGAAACCACGTATTTGCATACCTCGACATAGGTGTTGGGCTGTTCAGGAAGATTGAAAATTTTCTTGGGGTTATGATACAACTTATTCATGACGTCCTCCAAGGAGATTTTCCCCTCGTTTACAGCATTCAACATCAATGGAAGAGTTGTCTCCAAACCAGGGAATCCTGCAAGTAATTATTCACAAAAGTTAATGCATAGCATAAATTAGTGAGACAATCGTAAATCGATCCATCAATTTGTTCACAAATGAACGTATGTATTTACCAGGACAGGGCTCGTCACATGTCTTTTCCTCCGTGGTATGTGGAGCTAGATTATAAATTGAAAACTGTGTCATTGTTGTTGCTCTCTCAAACATATATTGCATGCAAATATGTATTAGTTTAGTAGTACGTGATGCACGAAATATATTTTTAAGATATTGAGGGTGTATAAATAAATAGGAAGGTGCGTAAATCCGAACCGTGATCCGATGCGATGACGTCAATGATTGGGAGATTTTCCCATAAAGCCTTTTGGTCGTCATCTGCAGCAAGAATAGGACGAACTTGACCTTTCCTATTCCCCAACCATTGCAAATCCTTCTTTGAGAAAAACAAATGGTGCGGTGTGACCTAGTTTTAAAATAAAATATAATTGATTAGGTGTAAAAATAAGAAGTAATGTTTGTATCTTATTTTTTTTATGGATTAGGTTAATGTCACGGACTGCAAATAGTATAGACTTGTATTTGTGTTATATGATTTGATTATTTTGTGATTCAGTTTTTCACATGCGACGGTGTTTAATAAATCAATTAATTTTCTTCATTGTTAATTAATGTTATTTTATGCTTGAATCAATGCATTGTCATTAACTTTGCCCATGGAGCTACATCACAAACATCTAATAATACCATAACGCAATCTAACTTACCTCGCAGGTGATGGGATAGCCCTAAAATCAAACAAATGTCAACATGTTACATTTTCAACGTCAGTTCTCAGAAGCAGGCGGATCGCACATCAACAAAGGATCAATATTTAAATGGATTTGGTTGACGTCGATACCGAAAGTGCAGTTTATCTTGTTACCTTCAATTTTGCGGCTCTGATAAGCTCGATCTGAATAAAATATTTTTGTTAAAATAATAAAATATGCATATAAAGTAGGCTCGTTACCTCTTCTCTCAATGAAACATGGCAGATATGAACTGGACGATTATGAATTCCAGCCATGAGAATTGCGGCCGCACATTTGCTACTCTCAGCGTGGACGCAGAGGGGCACGTTCGAGGGCCAATTGATAAAGTGCTGTTTGCCCAAATCATTAATTATGTACATAATGAAGAGATACATATATGGGAATATTATTATTGGAGCAAAATAAAGTCCAAATTACTTTTGACCATTTTGAAGTATCCTCCATTTTCAGGGTGGTGAAAGTGTCGTTGAGATATAATTTGAGGCCGGCAACTTGGTTTGCTAGCTCGGGAACATCGTCGAAATTTTTTTCGGTCCCACCAGCGTACAAAGCATAATCACATCTGGCATTCTTCTTGGCGAGCTGTTATATCGTAAAAATCATGTGGTTAAAATTTTCAAAAGATGCCGATGAAATGCATATTACACTCATAAATTATGCACATATATGACACTCACATCTTTGGCAATGGCTAGCGTAGACCTGTCGATCACTGCTGGTTGAGTGTTTGGCATTGCACATACCATTGTGAATCCGCCTGGTGGAAACAATAAAGCGCTTTCAGATACAATAATCTAACACAAACATATTTCCCATTTATCTATTTATATATGGATGTATATTTAGGCATGTTTCTTTATACGGATAAGGAGCAAAACTCAATGAGATAAGAAGCAACAGTGTTTTTTACTGATTGGTTGCTTCATTAGACTAAACATTCAATTACGTGCATAATCATTTACGTTATCAGTTACACTCACCGGCAAGTGCTGCAGCAGTCCCTGAGCAAAAATCTTCCTTGTGCGTTTGTCCTGGCTCACGCAGATGCACGTGGACGTCAATTAACCCTGGAAATCGGAGCGTTACTCTGGATGCCATACAATCCGTGTGCGTCTTCATTTTTGGAGAAGTGCGGCCTAATCTGCGAAGAGCCTGCAAGTTTTTTGTAAATTAATTAAATGCTATGCGAAAAGTAAGAGCATTTTATGCAATATTTATGTAAATATATTCAAATAGAGAAGCTTAGCTAATTCAAATAACTACAGTACTGCTTACTTCAACAAGCAATTTTGCACATTTCACATCCGTCACTAGCGGGACAGCAAAGTCCACTGCAGACTGTCAAAATAAAAAAATAAAAAAATATGATACATCTTTCTGAGCATAAAGAAGGGTCGGCTGCATATTGAAGGCATCTCATTTACCCTTCGTGTTCGATAGCCATGCGTCGAGAAGGATGAGACTCTTCGAGCCCCTCCAGAACGCATGGGGAGGTTGATAACCAAGTCCAGTTGTCTCCTGGCCAAGTAATCTGAAAGCAGTATCAGATCACCTTGGTCGCCTGCTTCTCCGATATTTTCAAAGGTCCACTCCATCGGTTCAACCTACAAGAGCAATTCACGCAAGTAATCAGCATTCGTCAACAGAGTGCACATTGTCAACAACAGACAATCAATATGTACTCGTGTGTATGTACGTATGCACATTCATCCACACATTCGGTAGCAAAATTGAGAGAATTTGCATTCCTAATGTGTGACATAAGTTTGGCAATGAAACGGTGAACAAGGACAAGTTCAAATATGGGCGATATTGGAAATCAGCATCATATCGAGGGTCCAATCATCAGTAGCTGCGATAAGCCAACATTTCCCCACCAAAGTCTCCCTCAAGCTTTATTCTCTTCCAGCCAGCTCAGAGCAGACCAACCAACGCAATCTCATCGACTGATAATTGCAGTAGCATCAGGAATATTCTGCTCGAGAGTAAATTCGATATCTCCTATCATCGAATTATCGAAGGGGATCAATATAATCAAAAGCTATGTCCAACTGGTGGATGAAAATATTGTAAATCCGTCCGACTACTACAAACCCCACGCCACTCGCGCTCGTTACGCCAACAGCGATGCAAGTAAATACGAAAACAATGAAATCCATAATCCATCATTTCTGTCTCGATGTATGCGAATTTCGCTCATCCGTTTCATATCAATAAAATTTGTACGCAGTTGAGCAACGTATTTGGTATATGATGCCATTACGATCAATTAGTTATGCGATAGGGCTGGTCAGGTTGGTACGAGTGCGCACATTTGTCCAATTACCAACCGGGGTGTCGTATAATTTTGATTTTTGATGCACTAATAAAAACGATGGGTCAAACTACGTAGGAAATAAAAACTGCACACATAAGATCTTTATGGTATTTCATGGTGATTATTATTTATGAATCATGAATCAGCATAAATATACCAGCTTTTTTGCAAAATTCGTTTAAAGTTTCAAATGGGGTTTATGAATCATTGTGTTTTCAAAGAAAAGTTGATTTATTTTGGCACTACTATATGCATAGCATTGAAAACTGTGTCCATCAGGATTAGGTCGATTAGTCATAAAATTTTCAGACGTTATATACATGCATCTACATATACATTTGTTGTTATTTATCTATGTAAGCTTCTGTACTTCACAGTTTTTAGTTTTGACGAATTATACAATAACTAATAACTCATGATTTAGTGGATTAACGTCTCACGATAAAGTTGTACAATTCTGAAAAGAAATTACTAGATACATCACAATCCATTAAAATACTTGTGATATAAATACACACATGTGCCTACTTATTTTCCTGCAATTTTGCATATTATCACCTTTCCACAAAGAAAAGCAAATGCGATGGGATTTCACCTATGTAGTACAAAAAACTACCCATACTTAACTTTGGCACACACACGGGGTGCTGGCAAATTCAATTAATAACGTAAACTGGACTGATAAGCGAGCATGACGATGATAAGGGAACTAATACATATGTAGAGGTTTAGCTGTAGTAGTGCGGTAGTCATCACCAAAATTCCTTAATCATCTTCGAATGGTCACGGTGACCACAACATAAAATGACACATCTTGTGATCACATTTAAAATGGAATTTACTTCCAGTGAGAAATTTTTAACTGACTCATTTTAACTCTTTACTGCATCTACTACCAATTTAATTAGTTAGCTGAACGTTAATATCATCAGTGAACGTGCTACAAAACAAAGTGTTTTAGCAAGGTTGGTGCTAAAAAGTTTCGTTTGACATCAGATTTGGGCATCACATTTTCACTCGTGAAATCTCAAAATGGGAAACATATGTCCTGGTTCTACGAAGGCCAACGGGGGGGCACGTTTCGGGGGGCACATTGAAGAATCTCAACCCTCAGACCTGGACGATACCCCTGATTGGACTCAAGAAAATCTTAACGCTCAGTTGAACGAGTTGATGAAAGCCATGCAACAACACAATTTGAGACGAATGCGAGTAGAATTGGAAACGGATATGAACACGTTTATGCTCAACAACTTGTTAATGTGCATCCAGTTCTTTGACAATTTCGAAAGGTACCCATTCACCTATTTGCATTTAAAAAATGATCGACAATGCAACCGGTGTTCCTACAAGTCTGGCATTTCAATGACCATGACTATTTAATTTAATGACCGTCGGCATTATATGTAGCATTTTAATCTCTGAGAGCAATATTCGTTTTTTGTGTTCCATGCCTTCGTTTTTTGTGTTCCATGAATTCCAGCATCACACAAAAAACTGCCGCACATATTTAGAGTATGCAAATGCAGCAAGATAACATGTTTCTGTGTTATTAATAGCTAGACTAGTTTCTTTGACCGTACCGTCATCAACTAATCCTAAGGATACTTAAAATGGAGGTCTCCCAGCGTATGCTCTCCGCTTTCGACCAAATTAGTGTCACTCGATCACAAAAATTAACACGGAATTTTCAAAAGACACCATCTGCCAATGAGCAGCTTAGCAGAGACATTTCCATCCAAAAAGGAGAAAACGCCTGATAAATTTTACACCTTCGAAATTTACTAATTAAAGTTGTGATCAATTGATTGATTGATTGATTGATTGATTGATTGACACTAACTTGGGCAAAATAGGAGAGCATACGTTGGGAGATTCCAGTTTTTGGTTGCATATGCATATTAGTGTATGCAGACGTAATTAAGTGACAAGGTTTTTGGTAACAATTTTTAAAAATAAATGCAACATGCATAGTTCCTTCTCTTAATATTCGCAAAATATGTAAATGGAATAATGCAAAGATATCTATATGTACAATATCTGTATGAATTTACAAGTTATACATAGAAATACCTACATCGTGCAAAATAATTAACTTTATCCGACTCGTCAGATAAGAAAAACAAGGAGTTGGGTTGACATTTGAACTTCAAGTTGTCAACATATTGATGAATTCATTGATTTTGCTGTTGAAGAAGCTGCATATCTGCAGAGTATTTTTGGACTTGATTTCATTTCAATTATCACCGAAGCAAATATCCCATAAATGCAACCGAAACAAATTTCATTAGATTTCTTATCACACGTAATAAGCAGAGTAGCAAACAGAGCAGATGATCTCATTTCCTATCGATGATCACATTGACATGTTTCGCTTCCGAATGACATTCTAAATTGGTGCTGAACATGTCAGAAGTTGTTCTCGTTGTAAATGGTGCTACCACAATGAGCATATCTTTCTCATCGTTACTTACATACACGATGATGATAATCGACGCTGAACATTTGGATTAATTTAATTTTAAATTGAGTGCAATTCACTTTTTCCAGGTCAAAAGATGCTTCGACTCATTTCAAGCGAGAAAAGGAATCTGAAATCAATGAGAAGCTCGCCCAATCTCCCCAGGAAGGAATGATTCTGGGAGAAAGGCGTTGTCACCTGCTTCACGGAATGGTACATATTCTGGCCAAGAACTACATCTACCGGTCCCCCGACAACGCGGGGGAGGAGGAGTATTACGGGGACTACTACTTCGGGTCCGACCCAAAGAACACGTTCATGAGCGAAGGGATCATCCCCCTCGAGTTCCTCATGACGTGGGACAATCTGGAGCTGTACAAGAATTCAGAGTGGGACATGTTGCAAGCTATGACGTACTCTTCCGCCAAAGGGTCCCCTCCCATCCTCCGATTTTGCATGGAAGAACCCGACAACAAGAACAAAAGTGAGTACTTTAATTCTAAAAGTACTTGAATACGAGTGCATGGTGGTATTTTTCACATTTCTCAGACCTGAAATTAATTCATATTTCTAAACCCATGAAAAACTAATCTAGTTCCACGAGGCTATTTGAGGCTGAGAAGCGTAGACGTGACAGCAGATGTTTATAAACCATTAACCACAGAATCAGGGTATGACTACGCCTACGCTGGTAGATTTAGTGATAAGGCGTCCGAGGCCGCCTCCGACTCTGCGGACGGATTATCCGAGTACTCTGGAAGCGATGTCGATGCCGACGACCTCAAGAGCAAAATGTTAAATTCTCGCAGTTATCTTCATACAGCGGTGTAAGTGTATTTCTGAATACGCATAGGGCGTTCTAAGGTTGCATATTCAAATGAGAGTGTCATTTAGGTCTAGGCCGATGGGTCCGGCAGAGCCCACGTCGTCTGGAGCAATGACCTCCTGGGAGCGACCGAGACCTTTATTAGCTCCATCAACACCGAGTAGACCTTCCCCAGAGAAAAACAAACCAAATCCAAACATGCAAAGGCGAAATAGCGGAGTGATGCCTACCAACTACCCCCAGCTTGGAAAACTAGTTAGCATTAAGCCCAAAATTAACTTGGCTGTTAACGTACGTTCCAGTAATAATTTATTGTGGATGACTTATCAATTTAATGATTATCAAATTGACATGAAAATAGGAGCCCTTAATTCCAATGTTGGAAATACACGAACCGACAACGCCAGAGATAAGTTCTCCTTCCCCACAATATCCTTACGGCCCTACCTCGATGAACTCGCTCTATCCACCAACCAACCCTGCGAGACCACGCTTCAAAGGGTAAGTCAACTCTTCAATAGCTCCTCCACAAGTGAAACGAGTTTAAATTGCTTTCAATTGTAGCAAATCTTCACCTGCCAATGGATATTCATCCAGCTCAGGATATGACACGATGGAGTAAGCCCGTAAAAATGCTAAATAGTGCTTCTCCTGACTGACATTAAACATGTAGGAATTTGTTTACTAAACAATTGTTCCCTTGTTTCTTCGCAGTGGTGCAAAGTCTCGAAATAGTTCCGTCGCGACGGTTGGGAGCGCAGAAATCCGAATCAAATGGCAACAAGTGGAGCTGAAGCAATTATTCCAGTATCCGGCACGAAAGCGGGGTCGAGCAGATATCGATGCAGAGAAGCAAGACCCACTTTCTTCTAACTGCTTCTACCCCGTGAATTTGGAGATCTCTTCGGACGAAGAATCTGACGCCGAGGATGACAGCGACTCTTCATTCGAGTCAGACAGCGAGAAGGCGGCCAAGGAGCCAAAATGCGAGACGCGCTATTACCTCAACTCCACCCAGTTCTCGTCAGAGTACTGCTCAGAATTTCATTACATGGGAATCAAAGGCGGACTTCCCCCCAGTGCGGTGAATCAGGCCGTCGTGCTAGGTACGAATAATACGCAGCGTTGTTTAATCAACAATTAATCACAAATGATTAAAACTGACACTGACAAAATGGCACTGGGGTTAATTAATTGCAGGCACGTCAGTGAGGGCAGCAGTGGCATACAATAATGATCACGAAGACGAAGAGCCCTTTCACGTTACGCACACTTTTACCCCCGCAATCCACAGCAAATCGTGGCCCACCAGCTACTACTTCTGGTTCAACCAACGAATGTTCAACAGGAAGAATAGGTCAGAGTTGGATGATCGCTGGCCAAGTGCAGATCAGGTAACGATATATATACGCACACCGCTGCATGGCGAAAAAGGCACTGAGCACAAAAATTGAGCCGAATTATGCGTATTTATATATTCATTACGATCGCTCTTAAGGTGGAAAAGATTGAGAAACTGGGTTCCAATGCCGTTCCTCTTGGGTTTCGACCTATTGAATTTTTCAACACGCATCAAAGTTTAGAATGGCAGGTCAACTTCCTTCCGGCAGAATCACTTCTTTTTGACAGGTACAGCTGAATGAATGTGCATATTTATTTGCTTGATTTCCAGACAGCTAAATTCTGTCAAATCTTTTTCAAGGAAATTAACTTGAATAAATGATTTTTGTTCCAGCTTTAAAAGTGTCCACTGGCGAGTCTACATATTTGCTGCAATTATATTTCGTGCCTTCATTGCCCCGCTTGGACCTCAAGGGATTGGTGTGGAACACATTCGCAACATAATTTACTTCATGTGCCACGAGGACTTTGTGGGTTGGAACGACGAGCAGCCTGGGGTCCACTTGCGAGCAGTGATCAGCAAACTCTTTGACTGCTTGGGCAAGGGGAAAAGTGAGCAGATTATGCTATTTTTCTATTTATCGTGATTTTATCAATTGAATCTTTTTGCAGTGCCCAACTTTTTCATCCAGTCTCAGGATTTACTGAAAAGCATTCCTACTCAAAATTCTCGCCTTGTCCAAGCCCATCTCAGCAAGTTGAAAGACAATTTGGTAGTTTACTGCATTTACGCTTTCAGGAACTTGACGGTCGTTCAACCAGAGGACACATTTTACCCGATGCCAAATTTCAAGAAGCTCTACAACATCATCACAGTGCCACATGAAAGAGACTTGTTGCAAATTGTACGATGAGACACAAATACACATACATTCGACACTACGATAATATAACGTTTTATCCGATTGTAGAATACTCCTGGCCTTGGATTAGGCGGTATGAGCACCATGGATGACGAAGTTCGCCCAAAGAAAGCTAATCGAAACAAAAAGAAACCCAAAATTGACCTGGAACTATTGGAAAAAGAGGTTTGTCTTAAAACAAAGAAGTGCAAATCACGAAGAATAAATAATTTAGTACGAGCTTCTACAAATACCAAAATTTTTAATTTTCTCGGTTTTTTTGAGCGCAGGATGCTATTGAGGGCGAATTTAGGGCATTAAGCGTGACTCGACCCGTTGAGAAACCAGACAAAATGCAAAGAAAATTGCGAAAAAGACATTTAGATTATAAATTAAAAATGGAAGAAATTGCAAGAGAACAAAAAAATAAAAAGCTTTCGCCGGATGACAAAATCCCACTCTCGGAGAGGAGAAAGTCTATCGATTTAAAGCAAAGTCCGATTATCCAAGAAAAGTTCAGCCCTCTTCGAAAAGTCCTCGTCATCGAGTTCTTCATCAAACACTTTATAAATATGGCCAAGAAATCCAACGAGTTCAGGGCGTATTCTCAGTCAGCCATGTACATTATGCAGGTGGAAAACTTGTGCGCTATCTTGCTCGAAGGAAATTATGACTTTGGTCAAACCACTTTGGACGAAGAAACCATCGAGGAGTACAAAGTAATTAATAATATAAAAATTAGAGTACACTTGTGCACATATTTCTGTACATATTTATGTAGTAATCTTTCTGTATGAACTAGTGAAAGCAATATTCTAATACATTTGCAATACATTTTACAGAAAAAATGCGAAGTGTTACGAGAGGTGGTTGGAAAGGAAATGCGAGATTATGTCCTCGCAAGATTCTCACATTTAAATCTTCCCACTCTCACCAACCACACCCATAACGTTTTCGGAGAATGGAGTAAAAATCGGACATTTCACAATAACTGGGACTTTAGAAAACTGCCAACTCCACCTGGCTCACACGTGGATCCGGCAGAATTCGAACAGATGGTGCAGAAACAACAAACCCACAAAGAATTGCGAAAAATCCCCCCGACAAATAAAAAACTGGAGACGCCCAACATTGCACGAACTTTGCAGTCAATTCAACCTCTCAGCCCAATTCCATCAGAAGCATCATCCGCAAAACTTGCAAGACGAGCGGAATCAATAAAGTTTATAGACAAGCCGGTGGGGATGAAAAAATCGGCTTCGAGGCAATCCATCATTTTAGTGGACGAATTTGAATCTACCGACTTGTAATAAGTGACAGTAGAAAAGATTATTTTTAAAGTATGCGTAAATTTGTATGGAATTTCAATTTAGCTAAATTTTTGAAGTATTTGTTGTGAATGACAGGCATGATTAGATAGTGTATAACTTGAATAAGTGGCTTACATACCTTAATCCCGTGTTCCATGTAGTAGTCCGCGGTGCCCATGCTTCCATAGAGCTTGTACCCAATTTTATGCAGAGTCCGAACACTTTCCAGAAACTCTGCCTTGTGCTGCGCAATTTGTGAATGGTCATTTCAAAGTCAATTATTTATATCATACAGTAAAACGTCTTTCACTTGAAGCCGCTAATAAATTATTGTACCTTGTAAGTTCCAATGGAGAGGAGGATTGATCTTTGTGGTATAATAAACCCAGTGCTGATCATCGATTTTAAGTACGCTTCATACCTTTATCAATTTATACGCATGCATCAATGTCATGAAAGTGCCAACACAGGGATGTATGTAAATTCCTCTCGCAATTAAGGATTATAGATATTCATACCGATTTTCCCCAAAACATGCCACCTCTCCCGTCGACGCCATCTCAACACCCAGCATCACATCCGCCCCTGCACATAAATTACATGATATGGGAGCTGTTAGGTAGCAGTTTATTCGAATTATGTAACTTTTCCGGTGTGCGTTTTAGCAGAGCGTGACGCTGTTCTCGTTAAACGGTGCAATTACAAATGTTACAGCTCCAATAACTCACCTGCCAATCGGGAGAAGGAAAATTGTGCCACTTTGACTCCCACTCGCCCACAACCTGCCATGATATCCACTGCGTCCGCCTTTTCCCCAATTATAACTTTGGTCGCGATCGCCACAAAGTCGTAATCCAAAGTTTTGGAAACAAAAGGGAAGGACCTCGAGACTCTGAGGTTGCATTCAATTACTTTCAGTTCGTTGTCCTAAATTAGGCAGCACATAAAAACAGTTAATGTCAATTTGCTAATTAAGTTAGGCAAACTCATTTCCTAATTGGACTAACTTTGGCAATTAGTTGGATGTTCAATGGGCTGAAATAGAACATAATAAAATTATCCCTCTGTCCTTGTTCACTCCGTATGCTCACGTGCTGGTAAACACTTATGCATAACTCACCCCGTGACTTCGAGGGACCTTGCAATCGAATGAACGATGGACTTGATCTTGGAGACCGTTTCTGTATTCAAGTCCTGAGGAGGAGTAACCTACGCAGAAAACAAAAAACGCATTTTTTCTGTACATTTCAGTCATGGATGTGCAAGGAAATACAGGAACTATGTACTTACCAACGTTGCGTCGCCACTGTGCACGCCTGCATTTTCCACGTGTTCTGACACGGCCTGTTGACAAATATGAGTTAATGATTGAATGCTAACTAAATTTGATGTATTTACCATGCACATGATTTCCCCTTCCCTTGCGACGGCGTCTATGTCGATTTCCTAAATTCATGCAAAATTAGCTTTCCATTATAATTTAATTACGAATTAGTCCAAATATTTATCAAAAGGTGCGATTAGAGGCCATATTTACATACCTTGGCCTCCATAATATACTTGGAGATCACTACAGGTTTATCCTTGTTGAGTGCGGCACAATTGCTCAAGTACTTCTTGAGATCCTGATACACACATTTAAGTAAATAATAAATATTACAGGACTCTTTCGTTATTTATTTTTACGACGATGGTTAAAATGATAAGAAGAAGAAGACAAATTAAAAATGCTCTTGAACTAAAGCAAATGTGAGTGAGAATCGAATTTGATCGAGCGGAAGAAATGAACAAAGACAACGGAACAAGAAAGCATTTTTCACATACAAAACTGGTTCATAGATATTTCTGTTTGTAATGTTTCTGTGGCCATTGCATTTGAAATGTAACGCAAAATACTATTATTTGTGTCCATCCCGCTTTAATATCCCAGTCATCTCGGGTGTTTCATTGTAAATAAATTCATTCATATTTACCTGAGAACTATGAGCAACCAGCATGGCTGCCCCACTCAGGACGTACGAAGGTCGGACCAAGCAGGGATATCCGACATGTTGACAAAACTCTTCCGCAGATTCATAGCTGGTCAACTCCTTCCATCTACGTTAACATATATACACCAAGTAATTTATGCTACTATACGTACGGTACTGTCATGAAAAGTTTCAAACGCTATACCTTGGCTGCAAAATTCCCATACGATCCAACATTCGAGAAAATTTAAAGCGATTCTCAGCATTATCAATCATTTCGGGCGACTGTGAGCAAACAAAGTTACAATTTGGTTGAGAATAAATCTTTGCATTAACATTGTGGGTAGAATGACACAAATTTGCTGACCGTTCCCAAAATATTAGCTCTTTGACGATGCAAATCCATTGCAATGTTGTTCGGAAGCTGGCCCCCCATGGAAAGTATCACACCTTCAGGATTCTCAAAATTGTAAATGTTCATCACGACCTACAATCAGTCAACAACAAACAACATCATTTGACGAATTTAATTACTTTTCTATGTACGAAATACATATACTTAAAACTCTCTTAGATGTTACCTCAAAGGAAATTTCGTCGAAATACAGACGATCGCACATATCATAGTCAGTGCTACAAGATACCGAAAAGTGTCATATAGAGTGGTTCCTTTACTGTTTGTGAGATTGACAGGATTGTACAGCTTACCTGACAGTTTCGGGGTTGTAATTAACCATGATGGTTTTCTGTAACATAAAATGCACATGTTACATATGTGCCTGATTCAAGACCACCATTCGTAACCTTCGCATTAAATCATCCTTTTCTCTGGTTCCAAGTATTTCTATTTCAATATTGATTATGTAAACGTCATTTCCAGAACAGAATTCTCTTAACCCTTTGCATGAGCGACTTTGTCGACTTTCTAGTAGGTTAGGGCACTTTCCTAGCCATTTTATGTTTAAAATTAGAATTGAAAATATAAAAATCTTGATCTTGTTCGTGATAAATTGACGAATTTCTCGAGTCGTGCCTTACTGGTCGTAAGTGAATTGAGTAAAAACTGTGCAAATCTGCAGCATTGCAGTTTTTCTCACACCACATTCTTGCTGCGTTAATTATGAGTTTACTGCATTATAAGCTTTGAACATGCTTCAAACCCTTGGGAGATTTGGTTCATCTACTTTAAGACCTACCTTTCCGAGCCTTCTAAGCTCTCGGATGCATCTACAAATAAAATGCCATTAATTCCAGAAGAACACAAAGTCATGATCATTTTTCGTTGCAATTACCCAACTGCACACCAATCAAACTCGACAGAACTGCCAATCCTGTACACTCCGGATCCTACAATTCATAAGAAAAATTTCACTCGGAGAATTACCAAAAAGTGTGCAAACTTAATCCATTGATCAAGAACCAAATTAATGAATGTGAACTAAACAAAATTGAAAGTTAAATCGTACCAATGACCATTACATAATTTCCGGGAGAATCAATATCATGTTCACTCGCACTGTAGGTCAAGTACAGATAGTTTGTAGCGCAGGGCCATTCTGCTGCAACTGTGTCAATCTGCTTCACAAACGGGAGGACACCTGTGACGAACGGAATGACATTTGTACAAAACAAGTCTTTGATGTTTCAGAAACTCATTTGTGCGTACCAAACTCCTCGCGACTGTTTCTCACAGCCAATTCAGTGCTTTTTACACAAATTGCAATCTGCTTATCGGAAAATCCTAGCTGCTTTCCTTCCATTACTAATTCTTTCGTCAGTTGTTTTGGGCCAAGACACTCCATGCGCACTTGGTAGTTTATCATGTTCCTCATCTTGTGCAAAAACCATTTGTCGATTTTCGTCAGTTCGTACAATCTGTCAATTTCATAGCCTGCTTTGAGAGCTGCAGCGAGCACAAACATTCGCGTGTCAGTTGGATACTTCAACTCCTGTGTGAAATATAAATGAGTGTAACACAGCGTCATTTTCCGCCACTTATCGAAAAGGTCAGGATGTCGATGATGACGACGTGAATTAAATGCATAAATTTTAATCAAACCTCATCCACAACGGGCATTGAGTTAGGATCGAAGCCAAGAATATGTTCGTCCGTCATTCTTAGCGCTTTCTGCATGGCTTCCTCAAATTTTCGTCCGATTGCCATCACTTCTCCGACGCTTTTCATGGAGCTGCCGATCTAAATGTGTATTTAGAAATAAAAACGACATTAAAATTCAGTTCTAATGCAAGGTAAGGTTACATCAGAATGGGTAAAAAAAGTAGTGTCGAATTTACCTTTGTGCTAACTCCTGAAAACTTTCTGAAGTCCCAGTGAGGTACCTTCTATAAAAGGAGAGATTTTATTGTAGGCTTTGTTGCCCAGAATTATTTAAAATAAACCGTTGCAAACGAAATGTAGCAATAGGGTGAAAACACCCGGGATTGTCTTTCACGGTCACACGGTCATCGCAAGTCGAAATGATAGCGATTTCTGAAATCCCTGCCAAAAATTACGTCTTAAACGGTGGGACCAGAAAATTCGACACCTTTGACCGTTGGCGTCATCACCTTGGCGCCGTGACTTACTACGCCCATCCTCAAACTCATCCGTACTTTAAAAATTACAAACACTTTGGCGAAAACCGCATGTCGAAATTTGAATCAGCTCTAAAGTTATCGCGGATACAGACAGACAGACAGACAGACAAGACATTTCCATAAAGGGGTTTTTACCCCTTAAGCAAAGTTCTACATTTGAAACATTCACGTATGCACAGTTGTAAATGTAGTACGTATTTTCTAAATAGAAAGCGCTTCATTTGTATATTTGTATAGTGCTGTTAAAATTTTAGCGAGATTTACCACTACGCAGTAGTCCAGACTTGGCTCAAAACAAGCCGTTGTACATCCCGTGACCGTGTTTCTCAACGTCACGAGAGATTTTCCAAGGGCTAATTTGGCTGCCACATAGGCTAAAATTTCAGAGGATACAAAATATTTGAATACATACGCACTCTGGTTACAGGAATAAATCGCATGTGCGACTAGATAACCACTTACCTAGTGGGTAACCCGTGGCTTTGCTGGCCAGCGCAGAACTTCTTGACAATCTTGCATTGACCTGGATAATCTCACAAATTGCATGATCGTGTTCACTTCTGTAGGACTACATAAACGACAAATTAACATGTTTCTCATCTCACCTCAATGATATAATACTGATTGGAGTTGGGACACAGCGCATATTGAATGTTGCATTCGCCAACAATGTCTGAAAGACAAATAAATGGTTTGTTGGTCAGAATGTTTTAAATATCTGTTTAAGTATTATTACTGACCCAAGTGTCGAATAACTTTGAGAGCTGTGGCTCGAAGCATGTAGTAATCATTGTTGCTCAAAGTCTGGCTGGGTGCAACTACGATTGATTCCCCGGTGTGTATGCCTAATCAAGGTCACAGTTTGAGAAGCGTTTAAATCGTTCGTTCGATTAAATTAGAGAAAGTTACCCAGTGGATCCAAATTTTCCATATTTGTTACGGCTATGCAGTTATCATAAGCGTCTCGAACAACTTCGTACTCGACCTAAAATATATTCACAGGATGCGTAACAACGTGACTTAAATGGTGGGATACGAGAAGAAGAACACAAAATGAACAAAATTACACTTACCTCTTTCCATCCTTTCAAAGACCTAGAGAATAACGAAAGGTAAAATATATATTATGACAGGAGATCATAAGAGATTCGTACACGTTCATCATGTTCGAAGCATAAAAAATTGACACAAAGTAGTAAAGCTGGATGCATGTTTAGTTCAAACGTTTTGATTTTTTACCAGCTTTTGGTGAATTATTGAGACTTTCACACTCGTATTCGGTCATATTTCTCCAACTAATTTATTTGCATGCATGTAATAAACATTGCTTACTTATCGATAATTAGCTGATTTGAGCTGGCCAAGGCTTGAGTGGCCAGGGCTCGCAGTTCTTCATCATTATGAGCAAATCCTGATCCAAGTCCTCCCAAGCAATAAGCTGTGGATACAATTTTGTTCAGTAAAAATCAAATAATCACTAATATCTAATCATGCATCTTACCAGCACGTGAAAGGACAGGGTAACCTAATTTATCCGCAGCTTCCAAGGCCTGTGTGGATCATTAACAACACAAAATTCTCGTTAGTACTAATAAAGCAAATACTTTTGGAACCCAACACTATGAGCAAACAGACTAAGAAAGTAGTCAAAAGTAGCTTAGGATTAGTTTACCTCGTCCAAAGTGCATGCAATGAAACTGGGAGCGACTTGTTCTCCTGAAAATTGTGTCAAATGTAATTAAATAATTCTTCTAATAAAATAATTTTGAGAAAATATCTCACCAATCTCTGCAATTTTCTCTGCAAATAATTTGCGATCTTCAGAAATAATTATGGAATTTATCGAAGTTCCCAACACTCGAATATTGTAGGTCTACATTGTGGACGAACAAAAAAAACATGTAAAAGCTTGCAGATACATACTTTCACCCTGCTGTATAAGACACCCCATTGTTCTTTTTATAACAAACCTCAAAGACGCCACGTTTGTCCAACTCTACTCCACAGTTAAGTGCAGTTTGTCCTCCAAAAGTCAAAAGAATGCCGTCCGGCCTCTCCGATTTGATCACTTGTTCAACATACTCGGGTGTAATGGGGAGAAAGTAAACCTTATCAGCCAAACCTTTCGACGTTTGTACGGTCGCAATGTTCGGATTGATCAAAACAGTCTGAATGTTTTCCTCCTGCATAGCCTTTATTGCTTGACTCCCACTGTAATCAAATTCGCCCGCTGTGGCGAAAGTTGCCAACTTATTGAATTATTACACATTTTTACGCAAATATAATGCCAATGTACAACCTTGTCCGATGGATAATCCCCCAGAACCAAGGATGAGCACTTTCCTTGGTAGGATTCTCATGGTCGCAATCTTCTCTGCACTCGGTGACCTCTCCTTAATGTACGAAGTAATGATGTCATTGATTGGTGTCTGCGGTTTGCGGGCATTGCTGGTCTTGACGCTGTCTAAGAAGATGTCAAACAAAAATTCCTAAAAAAACAACAAAAAACGTTACGTTTAGAGAGACCCTTAGAGACCCTTTGGTTTTATTCCATGCTGTGTCTTTCCACGTTAATTTCTCGAATGTTTTACTACATATAAGAATTAAAACCTAACCGTGTCTTGTGGTCCAGCCGTATGTTCTGGATGGAATTGGACGCTGCAAATAAGAAACATAAATCATATTCACCCATATTGAGCAAATCCCATAAAATTCTTAATTTCAATCACAAAACAATCTCTTCGTGCCTAAAAAAAGGTGCATTCGAATGCACAATTCCTTCGTTGGTGTCATCGTTGGCATTGGTGAACAAGGGGAGCCAGTTTTCTGGCAAGCATTTCGCGTCTACGGCAAAGCCATGATTTTGCGATGTGATGTAACACCGATTCGTTTCCTCGTGAATACAAGGCTGGTTGTGCCCTCGATTTCCATATCTGCGTCAACAAGTCAAATGTTTCATAAATGACATTTCTATGTATGTAATACATCAATATATCGACTGCACAGAAACGTACTTCATTTTATAAGTGTTACATCCAGCTGCGATTGACAGCAGTTGGTGCCCCAAACAAATTCCTATAAAAATGAAATGGGTTAATAATTAAATCAATAAACGAGCAAACAAATTAGTAAAAAACAAATACCAAAGATTGGCTTGGGATTCGGTTTGGCAAGTAACTGCCGGAGTGCATCAACGGTATCTTTGCACATTTGAGGATCTCCAGGACCTAGAGTTTTTAATGACACAATTAAGGCGTCATTTCCATATTCGATTAATTTATTTGTACATTAATATTCAACTCATTAGCATCTCCGGATCGAAAATCATGTTGATTTATTAATCCGCATCTTCCGATGTGCGTCCCTTATTGTTATTATTTGTTATTATTTACCATTGCTAATGAACAGCCCGTCATAATCTTGGTCTTTCACAAAATCATAATTCCACGGAACCACTTTCACACTTGCTCCACGTTTTAACAAGCACCTCAACTGGTTAAATTTCATTCCACAATCAACGACGCATATTTTAGGAGATCCTTTCGGGTTGTAGACGACGGGTTTCTGAAAGATAAACATGAACCGGTTATCATCAGATTAGTCTAGATTCATCTAATCCAAGACTGATTACAGGTCTGGTCGTGATGATGGTGGTGCCACTCAAAAACCTATCGATGTGTGTGTATCTGTTAATACGCGTACTGCAGGCAAAACTAAAAGGCTACCACTGTCGAAATATTTTGAGACCTGGCCTTGGGCTTAAGTGGTTCATTGTAATTTACAATAATGAATGCATGTATGTACCAACGACGACGGAACGGATTGTTTTCACCCATCCAAAGATATCGAAAGAGTCGGCCGCCTGGCTGGCATTTTGTCTTGTGACTATTTTTACGATTTTTTCTTCACTTGTGACAACTTGGCCAAAAATATATACGCGTACGCCTAAAACATGAAATGTTTAGTTTGACTGACTTGCCTTTGTTCGACACAAAGAACAAGTGATGAGTATTTAACAGTCGTCAATCCCGTCAATGCCTGGTTTTAGTCTGGATATTACTTTTCACTTCATTTTCATTCACTCTCAATGAACTACGTGTTTGCATGTTGTATCGTTTGTAAAACGAGAAAAATCGCAAGAGAACCAAGTAGACGTTGATCATGAGTGAGTGAGAACTTGAGTAATTCAAACTGTATGCCATCCGTTAAAAATGTAGTTCAAGGCTGACTCTGTGTAGATTATTTGCATGATATGAAATTTGGCAACCCGTTTAGCCTTAACGTTAACCCTCTCGACAAATATCTATGCTTACGACCTGTAAATGCGAGCAGTGAAAATAAACAACCCTCTGCCCTGCCAAGTAAAAGTTGTTGTAAAGGTTAAGCGCAACATGTTTTACTTTGGTTGAGACTTCGTCCACGAGATTGATGAGATTTGGATCCTTGAAAGGCAGGTCACTGCCGCTGATGAAATTGCTGCACGTCGCCGGCCCATCATCCTCACTCCCTGTTTCGATGTCATGGACCAAGATTTTCCCCAACAGCGTGCCTTTGTTGCGAATATGTTTCTGAAAGGCAGGAATTTATTCATGGTTTACAGTTAAAAATGGACGAGATTAATTTATCCAAAATGTCTATTTCAGACAAAACGCGTAACTATTGATTTTACATAATACAAGGATACCACTATTTTTACGACGTTTGTAAATACTTACTGTGAGTTGACGAGTATCAATGCCGTAGATGCCTGAAAATATTTAAATATATGAATTATTCGCATCATTATTATTTCATATGTTACAATTAGTGAGATAACTAGCGTTGGAGAAATGCTGGAGAAATGCTGTCGGAAGATCACATTTTTGCCTCATTTGTGCCATATGCTTAAATTATCTAACAGTTCACTAATTACCTGGACATTTTTGCTCTTCCATCCAAGTGGACAACGTCTTGACCGCATCCCAATGACTTGGCTCTGAAAACACACGAACATGCCAACATCGTTTTGAGGTTTAGGTTAAGTAGGTGGTTATGAAGTCATTATATTTTGCTCATAACAAAACTCGCAAATCCGGACAGATAAGTAGAAGATCCTCACCTAAACAAACTTCTCCCACGACGAGGCCGGCTGCCCAGATTTTCCGGGACTCAAAATTCCTGAAAGTGATACAATTTCATATGTAGTGACTATCTACAATAGCACATATTTTAATTTAATGCTACAATCTATACACTGTAAAGCTATGACACATCAGCGAAAAAAGCCAACATGTCTTCCGGGCAGTTTACCGTATAAAGTGAAATCTTGCGAAACCTCAGCATATGTACATATCTGTACCAATTATGCATAATTATTTACTACGTACCTTGGAATACCATGCTCATCAACGTCCGACCCCGGAACGCCATAGTTGCCAATCATGGGATACGTGAGAACCAAAATTTGTTGGCAATAGGAGGGATCTGTCAAGGATTCTGGATATCCAACCATCCCAGTTTGGAATACTACACACAAATAACCATAAAAAATGACCCACTTTCAATTTTTTCTTACTCGTAAGGATCACGCCTTCTATTTCTAGAGCCTTCAAGCTGTCAAAATGCAGCCAATACGGGAAATATTGTAGCTCTTTCTTACCAACTTCGCCAGGTACGGAGACCGTTGCCCCAAAAACAAATCCTCGAAATTCAGTCCCATCCTCAAGAACCAACGTTGCCTTCCGTTCCTTCGACAGTCCATGAGCGGCTGTCCCGATTGCATAGCACACCATTTTCAGGGATTATTAATTATTAAGGGAATGATCCTGATATAAGAAGCCGGCTGGATGATGCTGATGGTAAATACAGTTGATAGTCTTGGAAGTTGTCAAAGTTCTTAAAATGTGTATAAATCTACACAAAATTGCTGCGCACAAATAAAAAATCAACGTTGATTAGTTATATTATTATTCAGAGTTGAATAAATAACTGTACTAATTGCCAGTCCTAGACAGACTGGAACTCTGCTATAGTCCAGTCGGTTATTTATCTGGTTATGTCTAAGAAAAGTGGCGATAAAATGTAATGTAGAGAGGTACGAGTAAAAAAGTCGCGTTAAAAGCATAACTTAAAACATTAATCAGGTCATTTCCAGTAATCATGTTACAAATCCTCATGTAGCAAGCACTCCATGTTTTTTATTTGACATCGTGTTTATCCAGTTGAAAGTCGTAATTATAATCACCCATTGTGCATGCGGGGAAAATACTGCAAATTTTAAGTGGTTCGGCGTCATTCGATGCTTTTATAGTTATTATTGGACCTGTCTGGAGTAATTAAGAACAAATCGTATAAAGAAGATAGGTAGATAGGTTTTAACCAAAGTGTGCAAGTATCTATGTAATACAAGTTATTGAGAAAATGATGAGTTTATATGTGTAGTCACAGATTTTGTGAATTAGCATTTGATTGACACCATGTCGTCAGAATGGCAAGTTGAAAGTTCACTGATCCATGTAGGTGAATGCCTAATTTTAAATCTAAAGTCCATCTAATTGATGATGGACGTACTATCAGCAAATGGATCCGGTTCAAATCAGACGACAGCGTGCATTGTGCGCAGAGAGTTGAGCCACTAATATCAGCGTGTACGAAGTATTAAAATATGGAAGAGTTAAAAAGCTCAAGAGATAAAACAAAATTAATGATCAGACTCGTATGAACTCGTAATACGATAAAATGCAAATGTCTACGGACAGCCTGGGTTCAAACCCAAATAAAGTCGCTGAAATCTTGAGACGACGAAGGTCTAATTTCGTCCTTAATCTTAACTTTGACTGAATTGCATAATAATGACTCGATTGATAACAGCACATCATAAAGTTGAGCACCAGTTGTTACTCTGTCACGCCTTGCGTGATACACATTCTGTATTCTACAAATGTTTGTACATCTCTCTTACAAGCAAATCATTATTATTCGGAGTTCCATCTTTTCTTCTCCATTAAATGCGTCGCCTCAGTCACTTCCGCCAAGGTCATCTGATGGGACCTGGTGCTCTTTGTGTGCACACATGCATACACCCAGATGTACAGATATTCTTATCCAAATGTTTACTTATCATTAAAACCACAATGTTGGTCGGCATAATTAAATGTTGGCAACCATCGAAATGTCGATCCACACTGCATGCAATATAAAAAAACCTTGCATGCTGTGTTAATCGGTGCGACAATTGTCTCTCCACGTGGAAATGATACCATTTTCCATGTTTGCACTTGGGGTAATGCCAATGGAAATTCATTTTAATGGAAACTTACATCGTCTAATTTTAAATTCGACTGTTCATGTTTTCACCGAGTGAGGTAAATAATTAGTGTTGGGGAAATACCACGCAAGGAATAAGGTAGCATTTTTGCCTCATTCCTATGTTCTGTTCAGATCATAAGCTAATGGCTCATTAATGGAAAAGATACATTATGAACACAGTCGCGTTTAACTAACATGCATGAGTCTGAGAGACCAGAAGCCTGGATCAGAATAATAGCTATGTACATACAAAAGTAAACCAGGTTACCATCGGAAATATTGCAGATAATCTACTTAATAGGAAGGAGGGGACAAGGAAGTCAAAAAACCTTAGAATTTATGCATACACAAATCCCATGCAGACATTTGACATCTGATTCTTTGCATTTTGACACTTTTAATGGATCTACAAAATGGTTAGACAAATAATGTTTCCAACTTACCTAATAATAATGCAAGCAAAAATCGATACAAGCCTCATACCAAACGGAAGCTGTAGTTGAATGACTTATGTGTGATTGCAATGTCTGCAGTGTCAGTCTTGCAAAAAAAAGTTTTCAAATATACAAACGTATCGTCTAAAAATGGAGAACGGGATGAATGTGATGATTGTAATTTGGTGTGGAGACGATAAGAAGGAAAACAGATTGACACATTTAAGTCTGGAGAGAGACTGACCTCGGTCTGAGAGACTCAAGGGTCTAAAACCCCTGAATAAATTCTTAGCCTTCTAATAATACATTGGGAAGAGGATTAGAGACCACGTCCCTTAAAAACTTCCCTTAAAAACGTCCCTTTCCATTGTTCTCATGCTCAGGAAAGGGTCTTTTTAAAGAAAACGTATATCTCCCCATGCCAAAGTTATGAGTTATACATATTTTATGATATGATGCTCCTTATTTTCTGGGTGGAGAATACCAGAAAATTTTAATTCCAGCATTTGTATGACGAAAAACAACTTCTGCAAGCTCAATTTATTTGTTTTTTCTCAACTACGGCCCCGAAGAAATTGCCAAATTTGCACCAAAAGTTAGTGAATTTGTCCAAGACAGGATGATAATGTAATGTCAGAGAGGTCTGCAATACTCATTTGGGCGAAAGGTCGTCTGAATTTTTTTTTCTGCGTCTTTCCCTTTGTGCTTCTTTCACCCTGCATGTTATCTGGCGATTATTGAATTATGGTGATAATTATAACGAGGCTTGTGCTGCAGTGGGCATTTGCATGCCACGAGGTCAGTGTTCTTATATTATTATGACGGCGCCAATGCATTTTTACTTCCGGATTCTACCGAATTCGGGGCCACCACCAACTGCTCCATAGAAAGAATCCCACCACCACCACCGCGCTCCCACGTATTCATATTATTTACCATCTCCCAACCACACACCAACGGACGGATCACCAACAGAATTTGGAGTTATCATAATAATCAGCAGTGAATTTTAAACGTAAACAGTGCACATATGTCAATGTGCAATAAACTATTTGATTGCTGAACTATAGTTTTATTCTGTGTGTGGGTTATCTAACAAAACTCTTCCAAGACACAAGACTGCCATTAAGTGTGTAGTATAGTATAACAGATGAGTTTAAATTACTTCCAACGTTTAGAAAATTGCTCAATTTCAACGTGAACGTGGCAGACAAAGTTCCCCCTAAAAGTAAGTTTGGAATCCAAAGTTTGGAAAACATTGTAAACTAGGATAAATAAATTGTTTAAAACTACAATCCACAATTATCTTTTATTCTTTTGTAAATGATAGTTATACTTTTAGAAACTGATAACTGACAAAACTTCTGTCATAAAGAGTGAAGGAGATATCCTGTTGACGAAATATGAGGTGCTTTGCTCAAATATAATTACAAATTATCTGACCACTAATTACAAATTAGTTGGTCTGATCTTGCGTGCATATGGCTATTAGAATTAGATAATATTATTATCAGGTTGTGACTGGAAATTTGGTTTTATATGACCAAGCAGTTTGAAATTTGAATCTGGGTTGGAATCTTAGAATTGTTGTTGAAACATGAGACATTTCTTATCTTCCATTTCTTAATGTGACCCCAACTATTATGTATGAAATGAAACGTCTGTCATTCCAGCTTGGACTTCACCCTGTAAACTAACAATTAATATAATGAAATATTGAGTTTTGGGGTCATTTACTTACAAATTAAACAAAAAAATCATCAAACATTGTTACTATATTGTCATAATATGTTTGCGTTTTCATAACTATTACTTAAGTTTTACACACACACGTGGAGAATCAACTTGGCCCAGATTGGCACCCGAGCGCTTCAAGCCTCCCCTGAAATCGTTATATGCATAGAAAAATTAGTATGCGTACATTCATTGTATGGATACAATGTTGGGGTTTTAGCCAAAATGTTTCGCTAGTCATTGCAATTGAGAATGTGCTAAGTTTTTGCACGCATGATGTCATTCTTGTCTAAATATATGAAGTACAAGTATATGTTTTATATTTTTACTCGACACAGAGTTTACAAGTACGCAAAAGCAGCACTTCACATATGATGACAGAGCAACAAAAACTACTAATCGGTTATCCCCGATAGTATTTGTGTAGTATGCACATGTCAGGGCACAGATAATAAATGTAGCGTCCTCTCCACCATTCATGATTGGTGAATATGTAGGAAGTGCATTTACTCGGGTTATGTACGTAGTATTTCAAAATAGCTATAACATCACTTGAATAAAAGTTTGACGGCTTATCTTGTTTCACTAATGTTGTACATACATTATATTAGAAAATGCGTGTGTGCGGTTGGGTTAATTAGTCGAGCATGTCTAATTTGTTTTGAAGGTCATTTTATTTTATTAAACACGTCAAATAACATGCTTCCTGTAATGTCCGGTATTTAGCATGGGCTTACTATTCTCCACCATGTCTCAAATTGCATGACCTCCGCTGTCTATCCCAAAATTGCAAATATATGTATATATGTACAGCAAACTTGCTGTGTGCATGCATAACTGAATGAATGATAATACTCCTCCAGCCAATAATAATTTGCAGCGCAAAAAAGTGGACATTTTATAAGCGGAAATATGTCTCCTCCCCCTTCAGCAATCATCAATAGGAAGTAAATTATGATTCATGACAGCATCTGCACTTCGTCAGTGTCTCATTATTACTTGATACACTTTATGCTGTTCATCCATGATGAATATTTCATGGAAGGGTCCAAAACACTACGCGTGTGTTCATACATACGTACATACATCGTAGCAAAAGATAATAATGATCTGCCATACATTGTGTATATTAGCGCAATAATAATATGTTGCAAGTACGTGCCAGAGCACATATTTCGTAGATATATACGTACGCCGTCATGATGCACAACTAGTTAAGTCTGATGATACAACAGCGTCGAGACGGCCAAGGCTGCTCATGCAATAAAGAGGCAACCCGATTGTGTAGTCCAATAATTGGTGTAATATACAACCAAGTATTTACTCATAGCAGTTTTTTATTCTTTCCGTGTTTCAGAGAAGCAGACTAGCGTTGGTAAGAGTTGCAGTTTCCTGCTGCTGCGGCACAACAATTATTCGTGGTCTTCTTGGCCTTACTTTTCTTACAATCCTGGTGTGCTGTCTTCCAATCCATCAGCAGCAGTGGAACGTTGTGGATTGAAGTCGTTGCTGGTTGTTGCTCCCTGCAAAAAGTCAGCAATCTCATCATTTATTCATCAGCCGAACACAAACTTTGCCACTTGCAACAAATTTCAAAAAGTTTCATCTGCACTTGAAATTGAAGCAAGCAAAAAGTGGAAAAAAGAAGAAGCTGTGAATGGATTGCTGAATCTGTTGTTGGAAAAGTGACAGAAAATCGGCAGCCTTCTTCCGCATTAATACCAACCAACCATTCATCTGTTATCAGATCGGTCCAAAATCACATTTTGAAGATCAGCTACATATATATACTTGTGCTCAAATCCACTGTCATCAGGAAGGCGACAAAGTCAAAACACTGTGTGTAAGTGAATGTGTCTGTATGTGAAGGATATTCAAAGATACATTTTGAAGTCAACTTGGCAGCTTTAACTCTCTGATTTAGGATAGCCCATAGTAAGTTGCATTTGTATTACCAAAACAGTGTTGAATTAACAACACCAGCCACTACTGCAAGTAGTAGAGTACTAATTTCTGTAGTGGCGTTATCTCACTCACTCCATTACAGCATTTCATTGGAGCTGTTCGAGTTTTGGTGTAGTCGTCAAGCAAAGCCAGTAGTTTATCCCAGTTCTATCCATCCATCCAGTAGCAGTGTAGCAGTAAAAGCATTTCTTGCAACCCAGGAATTCTGGCTGAAGCCCATCAAAGCGAACAAGACGGGATGCCAGTCGGAGAAAGTCAGCAAAAGTGCAGGGAAAGAAGAGAACGCAGCTGCAGTGCTGACCTTTACGAGTTGGATGTATGAAACTCGGTCTGTTTTGCGACTCTGCCTGCATAGCAAAAAACTCAAAGCAAAGTCTATGCAAAACACGACCGGTGAGCAGTGCAAGACCAGCTCCCCGACGAGAAGCACATTGCTACTGACTCTGCGACGACAATATTCGTGTGCAGTGCTAATTTGAAACTGGATAAATTTATTACGCTATTATTCAGCAACACAATCTCGGGTTCGAATTACATATGGAAAACTGAGAGGTTTCTGCAATCAGCTAAACTTGATTTACAAGTATAAACTCTGAATCTCTTGTTGTTGTTGTTGTTGTGCAAGCGAGGAGTTCAAAGTTTTTTATATCCTCGTCCGAGAAATTATAAACATAGTACTTCAACACAATTGGATGATCTTTGATCTTGTGTTAGGATGATCTTGATTTCAAGAACTTAATTGTTAACTCTGCAACTAAAAGATTGCGACTTGAGTTACGCGTTGCAATTTCATCAGCTACCGTGTCAAAATAAGCTTAATATGACTGGAAGCAGATCAAGTAATGATGACAAGCCGGGACAGGTCGCCAATACGGACGGTGAAGATTCCGATGACGAAGAGAGTGAAATTTTAGAAGAGAGTCCGTGTGGAAGATGGGTCAAACGGAGAGAAGTGGTAAGTGCCATCCTTTTTTTGCCATTTTATTTCAATAGCCCAGCTGGTATTCACGATTTAAATACTACTAAATTACTACTACTTACAAATCAAGGTAGACAAAGTGGTTTGCAATGATTTTCTCTAATGTCTGGCGCAGTTAGTTAGTACGGTTTCTTTCTTACAGCAAATTATGATCAAAAACTGCATTGTGAAATAACTGCATTTCACTCACTTAGTCCTCGACATTAAGTTTGGTCGCTCTCTCTCCTTGTAAATAAATATTCGATGCATGAAACCACGACTGCAGTTTAGCAATTTGTAATCACCACTGTACGTATTTTCCGCTTTGTACTTCACGTGCAGCTTGCAGTTTTACTGCACTTTGATTGCATCTCATCAATCTCAATTCACAAGTTGAGTTGGTTTATAACTAGCAAATAATAAAAGTGGGTTGATGATTGTGAGATTTTTTTGTGTGGTGCACTGCTGGTGCAAGAAAGCTCATTTTTAAATCCAAATCAAAGGACAATTTAACCAACAAAGAAATGCATCTTGTAATTGCAGCGCATCGAATTAATGACACCGCATTAAACTAAATAGATGTTCATTATTACAGCCAGACGATCCTCTTGAGAAAGTTCCTTCTGGTGTAGCCTTAATTGCTCGAAATACACATACATGTACAATGTATTTAAATAGATAGATGCGTGTGAAAAAGTACATCAGTGGTAATTCGAAGACAGAGAATACAAGAAACTTCTTTCTTGCATATTTAAGTACCAAAATGCTATTTACTTTTGTACATAGTGTCATTTTCGTAGTGTTTAAACATGCATGAATTTCGTACACTTGGCTCGCACATGATGGCTACATCTCAATCCATGTAATGCGAAAGCTTTTACAAGAATTAGGTTGGAATTGGATTACAAACACAGTGTAAAATTATTGTTGCCATTCCTCCATTGAGTCCAAGCCTGCGACGTAGTAAATATGTATGTAAGTAGAATAACACAATTTCTAATTCTACAGAGTAAACACTTGTATTACTTATTACAAGACGAGACAAATGTGCCTTTATTTTTATGCACTGCCCTATTGCAAAAGAGGCGTTCTGGTGCTTTCAGTGTTCGGTTTTTGATTATGGCCCTGGGCCACGGAAATTTCTATATATAAAGCTGCCGTTTGCATTATAGCGTATCGTACATACATGTCCGACCAACTTTATTTTATATTGTGGACTCTACTAATCCAATCCATTTCACTGCAGACAAGTCATTTTTAGGCATTATTGACTACCTGACATTTGATGCATGCACATTTCTTTCTCTTTTATCTAACAAGTAATTGTATTTTATAGCGTTGGCGTCTATAATCTGTTATGGTCTTTGTGCTTGGCACCGCAATCTGTGAGACTGAGGAGGGTGTAAAATCCCTACTTTTTGCATTTGCTTAATATGTTCATACTATTCGCCGATTTTTCATCATCATGAAAGTTGGCATGCACGTCTCGACACTGAATCACGAGGAGAAAACTGAAATCCTGATCATGCAACTACAGGTAGTTTATAGACGAGATGATCACCATAGGGCGGATATGTATGTACTTATATTCCTCAAAATATGTATGTAATATGTACTTAAAAAACGCGAAAATATGCACGTAAAACATATTTTTCAACCGAAATTTTCTACTATATTTACATTTGATTTTCGAAAAGTTTCAAATTTGTAACACTCTTATTAATGAATTATTATGTATAGTATTTTAATATTCATGTAATGAATAAAATAAAACGACATTAGCCGTATTTAGAGATTTTCAGGGGTAATTTTATGACTTGAAAAATGGGGCAAAATGGATTTGCTAGTCGTTCACACGAATTAAACTCCGTTATCATGAAAGTACAATTTTTATCCAACTCTAACGTCTGAAAGAAGAAAAATATTTTTTCCTCAGGAAATCCTGAAATATGCATTAAAATATTGATATTTAGAAAAAAGCTCGAAATATGTACGAAAATATGTGTATTTACGAAATAACCTCAAAATATGTATGAAAATATGTATATGTACGAAAACTCTAAAATATGTAAAATATGGAAAACCATGTCTGAATTTTTGAAATCATGCTTCGATGGGATGTGAGTATACGAAGTTTTAGTAAGATCTGATTGGGAATGAAAAAGTTAGAAATACATACATATCCGCCCTCTGATGATCACTACCATAAAATGACAGTGTTAAGTTCTGGGTCGGTCCGTAAGTCAATGCAAGTCGCCCCGTAGAGGAGACAAAGAAGGAAGCGGAGCAAACACTGCATGCATGAATGCATGAACTGCTACCCCATACATACATCAACTGATCAACCAACCATCATTACTCATCAATAGTGGTTATCATGATAAGTGATCGTGATAAACACTATTAATTAATTATTTTAGTTTGAGAAACTCCACCCACAGCGAGTGGCATATCAATTCGAATGTATTTTTGACGCTGAATCCAACGCCATTAATAGTTTTGACCTCCGAGGCCCCCGTGACCTTCCCGTGACCGTGGCAGCCAAATATGGCTTATTCGTGATGTCGCATATCAATTCGAATGTATTTTTGACGCTGAATCCAAAGCCATTAATGGTTTTGACCTCCGAGGCCCCCGTGACCTTCCCGTGACCGTGGCAGCCAAATATGGCTTATCCGTGATGTCGCATATCAATTCGAATGTATTTTTGACGCTGAATCCGAATCCGTCAATAGTTTGACGTTAATTATAGAAGTTGGGGTTTATGGAACTGAACGGGAGCGTGAAGCGCGGGAATATAAATAGTTAGCTATGCAGTTACTCCCACACGACGGGAATTTAAGTAATTAGCTATTCAACTACTCCCACAGGGGGAAATCAAATTGTACTGTGACCAGGTTAATTAAAATGCAGTATGACTGGGGCAAACCCTCACTCTGATGTATGTATGTAGTACGACGAAGTCTCCACTGGGAATTATTTAAAGTATAGCATGACGGATTTTTCGCTTTCACCCCCCACTGGAACTCTAGAACCCGGCCTTGGCCGGGCTATACGCTAGTTTTGTAATAAAATGTCTCCCCAGAAGTCACTTTTCTTTTTGGCGCATCATATTTGTCTGCGTCATAATAATGTAAAAATAAAATCCAATTCACTTGCAAATAAATATGTCATTTGACTTGTATTTATTTAACAAGTGACTGCAATGTTTGGATTTAAATGGCGTCATTAGTACATTGGCTTTGCATTGGTGAGACAACATTGTTACACTAATTGTAAATAGTTTTGACACAATATTGTTTTATTTCTAATCTTTCTGTTGGGAGACAACTTTGTGTTAATTGATTATTTTGGAGAAAGCTGATAACTATCGCATATTTATTAGTGAAACAAAAATTATATTGAATTATCGATTGTAAAATGTTGACTGTGGTGACTGGTGTGTATGTATTTGGGTCATAAATTCCACAAGTTGTAAAGAATTTGATTAATGTTGAGCAGGTTATATTTATGCATGGATGCTCAGGTGCAACTACATACATGCGGAACGTTATACAACTTCGGGCCAAAGCGAATTCCGTCGTATCACAACTCTTGGCGATATTATGAATTGATGAATCTGTAAAAGCATTGGTTATCTTTATTATTATCATTCTCAAAATACCATGGGTCGAAATATACGTTGATGCGTTACTTGGAATATGTAACAAGCTTTCGTCCAGTGAGACATAACCCCATATATATTACGTATGTTTATAGTTATGGCTATTATTATTATTTACATCATTTTTGAATATTTTTCTATGACTTAAAAGTAATGTTATGTATATATCTCTGGGAGGAAATTATACAATTATAATAAGCTGCGCTTGCACGTTTTTTCGAGCCAGTCAAGTTGAGCCAAGTTCAACTTCTTGGCAAAGTTTTTTAAATCCTCTCTATGCAGTATTTAGAGATGGATACAGCACTTTTTGCATTTACTATTATTGTTGACTCCAGCTGTATGTAGCACCATGATTCCGTCTTTTTGTAGTAATACTGCTGTTCATTAAACATATACGAGGAGTGGTGTCATCAGTCAGCGTTGAAGTTCTGGTGGCATGCCTGATAAGATATTCACTAAAGCCTTGTTTAATGCACTTATGAACTCAAATCTGCATTTTAAACGCGGAGCATAAGAATTTCAACTGCGCAGTAACGGAGGAGTTTTTAGCACACGAGATTTATTGTGTTACTTCATCGCACAGTTTACAACAGATCAACCATAGTCTCTAATTCCACAGCTTGCGAAATTTAATTTACTCAGAGAAGTATAGTCAATATGGATGTACATTAAACTATTTAGCGCGTTTTTATTGCTCCAGTGACGAAATTAATAGTTCTTGTGTTGTTGCTTTTTTTTCTACGAATGTTATCTGTTAAAAATGTCCCGACTGACCAGCCTATCTGCTATAATAAAATAACGTGTATATCATAATCTAAGCTTGTTCATTGCATTTGTGATAAAAACAGGATGGATGATTTAAATTATTGCACAGAATGCAATTATGTACATTAATTGTGCATTACGTTTAATTACAACGAAACAGGTCATAATCTCATCGGTACATATCATCAAGTTTTGGCTACGATCATCTATGCAGTTTAGCACCACTTTGTTGGGTTTGGACATATTTGTTTGTACATCTGGAAATAAAAAGTATGTCATTCAGTTCATTTCATACTATCCACAAATAAATTATTTGATAAACTGGATGGAATCACTGGCGTCGCAGAGGCGCAACTCACTCTTAAGCTTAATGTATCTTTCCGTGAGACAAACATTTAAAAAATCGACAAAAAACTGTTGTGTTTGTAGTGCTCGATAACAGTTGAGTGGGGCGATTTGTCGTGTTTGACTCTGCTCATTGAACGACATTACGACATATTAACAAACAATGGAAGACTTCCTATTTTGATAGCCCGTCGCCCCGTCTCTAATGACTTACGAGGGTCTGTGGTTGATGGACGGATGTACCAAATTTATTGCTGGAATTGAACACCACATTTTAAAAATCCACACAATTCCCAGTATTTAAACTAGTACTAGTTCCAATATGTAGTGGAATCTATTTATCAATGGATGACGCACCCTTGGTAAACATCCGCAAATCTGGTTTAGTTGACCAACAGTTGAGCAAATAATTTCCAGACTTGTTAATTGAGTTACTCAAGTTATTAATTGCATGGTTAAATCATGCCTATACACTGAGGTATTCTTGAATTGTGGTCCTCATTTTTGAAACATTTATGATTTATGTCGACAGATCATAAATCATAAAAATAAAGCTAAATAGATCAAAAAATTGGTTTCATACCAATTAAGAACTTTGTCAATATGAACTCGTAAAGTGGATTGTGTGTAATGTTTTGTGCTGGCGTAGACCATTATTGTCCTAGACCATAAATGACCATATCCGTTCCGTCCTCCAATAATAGCCAGTTAGTTAGCAGTAAAGGTGCACAATTAGCATGAGCAGAGGTTATTATTATTATTGGCTTTGGCTCGTTCAATGTTAGTCTTGAGAACTGTTGCCAAAAATAAATTTAAACGATTTGATTTACGTAAATGCACTCGGCGAGGCATTTGTGTGGGCAACTAAATTCGCTTATGAACAAAGCTCCGCGGAGCAGATCTTCAACGCAACCGACACTCTTGCCCGTTTATTACTAGGTTTTGTCTTTGGTCCCCTCGTTCTTCATTGAATGCCACAATTCTCACAATACTATCTTGTTATATAATAGGGATACTTAAATTTCCGACAAGCCAGGAGTCTACCACGGCCAAAGGATATCACCGACTTCTTAGCATGTGGCGCAAGTTGGCCTGTAGTGCAACAGCCCGACCCCTCCCTCTCTCTCCACTGCGTTACATATTTTATGAACGTTCCCTAATCGTTCGTCATTTGGCGTGTGACTTTATTTCAAAACCAGGTCCGGGTCACAACACTAAATGGAATGAAGCATATGCCCACGCTTCATTGTCCTGGTTAAAATAATAAACATTATTGTGAAATAAATATGTAATGTTGATAATACGTGTAGGAATACGCCATTACCGATAAGAGAAGCATGACTATGCTCTACTAATTTGTCCATTGCAATGCATTGCATAATACCAGCTCAGACAAGAAAAACACTAATTGTGTACGAAATTTGAACAAGTACTGACTGCATATAGCCATAAACAAGAAGCTTATTACTGATCACATCACATCCGTTCTTCGATCGGGTTAAAAAACGGGAAGGAGTACGAGTCTTCGTCAGACCAGTCAAGCTTGTTTAATTTTGGATTTTGGGTGAGCTCAGCGACTCCCGTTTTCCGGCTTGCATAAATTAATTGAGGAATGTGGAGAAGGAAGTATACACACAGAGAATTATGGGCATTACATTCTAATTTAGTCATAGTAAGCTGAACTAGCCTGGTTTGAGGATTTATGGATTGTTATTTTCATTCAAATTATTCACTGTCAGTATTAATAAGTACGAAATGATAAAGGTGTTGAAAGAAGAACAAATGACATCGTAAACTAATTCACCCGAATTTGGTTGTAAACATTTACTTTTTCAGATTAACTATTGGCAAGTTTTTTAGTACGCGAGTTTGTGTACCACTTATCTATCAATATTCTTAACTCTCTTGCTGTTGCCAATTTTTTCATCTAATGTAATTAAGTGCATGACAGGTTCCACACTCATTCACGTTATTTTAGAGCAAAATCAAGGTAAGACAAGCTTACATATTAGCTCAACTCTTGGGTTAGGCCAAGGTTTTTGGCTCGCCAGAATACGTACTACAGAGCGGAGCAATATTACAAGTTCTTGTTCAATGTCAATCAACATACGCCGAGTAGAGCTTTCTTTGTGATGATGAACTATTCACGATGTGGGGAGAATTCATCTTTAGTTTTCAATCTATTTCGTGTGCTCGTATGTTGGCCAGCCGGTGAGGTGCATTTTGAATGCTAAATTCAGACCAGGCAAGTCGACCCGGAGACCATCCAAGTGTGTCAAGGCCTATTCTGTGCAACTTTCCTACCTACCCGAAATGACAAAGAAGTCGAAACTGCATCCACCAGCACAAGCATACTATTGTCTGACCTGCCCTTTTCATGTAATGCAACCTAACCAAAAGTGACATTCCGAGCGCAGCCAAATTGCTGACGAGAAAAAGTCTGCTTTGTCTCCATTGTTTGGCTGGCTTTATTTGGAGAAAGCTGAGGTTGTGCAGAAACAAATTCTCTCTCACTGCTTCTTCGAATAATTTCTTGTTTGAACAATTAGAGTTGACTGTCCTGACTGAACTAAAAGATGTATCGGATATTGGGGTGCCAACAAAAATAGTTAATCGATTATTGATTCCGTATTGTGACGTCATTCGGTGAAACAATCTCCCTATGGAAGTCAGTTGAGGATGCTCTGTAGATGAACTTACATATTAATATGTGTGAAATAGAATATTATGATATTAGAAAGGTAAAAGTTCGGCAGGAAGCTGCTCTACTGACGACATACTTATTTACATACCTAACAGAAACCATATTTATTCTAAGAATTGGTTTCTTATGAACGAGTCTTTTAATTTTTTAGCATTCTTATATACATATACCTAAATCTGCTGAGATTTGTACACTAAATATTTCTGCTACTATTAGTGGGGCCTACTTTTGCATACCTTTTTGTCAACCAAAACTATCAAACTGTGACATGCTATAAAGTAGCGATGATATAAGGTTTTGTATTTTTTTAAATTGTGTATGCACATTAAGTGCACATTTTGTCATAATATGTACATGTTTTCCTCTGTAATACATTTTCATTTAGTATTTTGTTGTAAATAAAGTGGCGAGAACGTCCAGCTATAAAGAGTTCGTGAAGCATCTTATGATGATGTTGTGTTGAGTCGTTGAGATTAAATAATATCCTGCTGAAGGATGGAAATTGGCTTTTGTAAACAAGTTCGACAACCTTTTGTGTGGGAGCTTTGTTCGATGTATGCAAATCAATCCGTGCCACTTTGAGTCCTATGCATCGTTGGACATCAACTCGTTTGGCACAACGGCCGGAGATGAAGTTTCCTTCCAATTAGTGATTTTTTATTAATGAGAATAAACCATACTTTTGACTTTGCAAGGTCACCCATCACTGTCAAAATGATGCAGCTACTTGAGCATGCACGAATCAACGATGGAAATAATTATTTTTTAAGAGTGGGTGTTCGCAGATTGCAGATCGTGACTTAGCATCTGAATAATCTTGCCACAGCAAAATATCAAATTAAGCAAGGACGCCAGACAAGTCTGTAAGATGTGTTATCCTGCCTATCAAACTAATAATTACAGGGTAATTATACCATTCTTGGAGCTGTTTTCATGAAATCAATGTTGCAGTTTGCCGAGGGCAATTGTCCAGCAAGATAGTTGCGCTTATATTTAGGTGCATACAATACATTTTTCTTGTCAATTTCTCCAGAAATTCGTGTATAAAGCAGCAACCATCAGTCAATTATTGAGATGAGATTGAGTCTATGAAGTGTCCATTTTATTTGGAACTCGAAATCAACAACAGCTGGAAACATTTCAAGTTCCAAGTGGATGTCGCCTCGTATCATATTATGAAAATCAAATTCCAAAAAGTTCTCGTTGTGACATTCCATTATGGCGTGCAGCGAAGGAAAATGAATCGACTTTTACTGCAATTTTGCTGATACACTCTGTTCATCGTCAACGTTCGGCTCGTTGACTTCATGCATTCTAACAGACATTAGCCTTGTCTCAAAAGATGGTGAACACCAAGAGAGCAACAATAAATAGGGCGTAAAATCCCAAGGAGAAAGCAAACCATAGAGAAAGTCATTCATTGTGAAACATTGAAAGGTCAACTTATAAATTTACTTTTTATCACTAGCATGCAAATTACTGTCAAAATAAGTCAAGGTTAAGCGCTTTTGCGTTATGGATGATATTTGTAAATGAAAAATATGGACACCAAAATTCACCAAATTTCAGTCAGAGTAGTATTAAACAGTTCTCCTCATCGTAATACCTTCAACCTTGACATGAACTCTGGATCTTGCCTTTTATGCTGAAAATAATTGTCTGACATAATATTTTTTATGATGACGTCTTCTCCTAAATTACTCGGGGTATCAAGTGGTAACTGCATGTTATAGCTTGCAATGAATAAATTAATATTTAAGACCTGAAATATGTACATGCATGTCTACATAAACCCATCCTGGAACTTTGGTCGACCTTGCCCTGGTGACGTAAGGTGGCAAGATGTGACTTACCTACAAATCAGCTTTTAATTCCCGTAAGAGATGGTTTGTTATTTGCGTTGTTGTATTTTCTGTGCTTTACTGCGATGATATCTGTTTGTAAAGTTGAATCTTTTGCAAACTCTATGTTCTGCAATGTCCAACTTATCTTTTATGATGTTTGAGTTGAGTGCGTCTTTTAATAGCTGATCTTAGGTACTCATGATGAGTGGATTTGGTGCATCCAAGGTTGAATTGAAAATATTCAAGTGCATAATGACATAAAACATGATGCGACACAAATAATCGCTGTGCAAATCTGCCCGTTCATGTACTTGTCCGCTTTGATTAAATTAAGGGATTTGCACATTTTGTACTTTCACTTTTCACATATTTGAATTATAGAATACTGACCTGTTCATGCATACGTACATTTCATTAGTAAACCTCGCTCCTGGAAATTGCACTAATCCTAAGAATCGCATGCATCCTGTGAAGTATTCATGCAAGGTGAATTATTTAACCTATCCAATCCAAATTTGGAGCTGAGGAGGAAGAGCCTGCACCTGCACTGAGGTGCACCTGCTCCTGTTGTTATACAAGTCACTGCCTTATTACACACATAATTATTTTATGCGAAAGGTGTCTCACTATATGAATTTAGTTGGACTCATTTATATAATTTGGTTGTGTACAAAGGTGTCCATCCAGTCGTTCCTGGATACAACTAGCTCTTCTTGAGGAAACAATAAAAGGAGAGACATAATTGGATAGGTTTTTTAAATTTAGATGCAATGAGCACTATTTATAAGAGTGACTCTATTGGTTGGTTTTCCGTGTGTCGTCACTTGTTATTGAGATCGTGACAAATGTACATGTTCAATTGAGAGGAGAACAAGCATTGGAAGGGAAAGCAAACGAAACCCAAAATGAGATTACTTGTAATTTCCTCCGAGACTTTGATCAGCCTAATGGAAAAAGAAGGTTTCTGAGGACTAATAATATACCTACCAACACGAGGAAGATATCAACAAACTTGATGGAAAGGAATGAATGAGTCTGGTTCGCTTTGACTCGCTGGGTCTTTACCTTTTCCTAAGGATATCATCGCAAGTAAACGACCACGCAGTAGAACTAGTGACCAGACCACCAAATGCCGTACAAAATGAATCTGTTAGTAAAACGTTAAAGTCTGTCCGGATGTTTGCGTGGACATGTTTTTCACTTTTCAGTTCATTCATTGTTGTTTTGTTGCATTCGTGCAGGTTCTTTGCCACGAGAGGTGAGTGGGAGAGGATTAAATGTGTCTCTTGGGACTGTCTACGTCAT